GTCTGAATGCCCCGGTGGATGTAACAAGAACTCGTTTGATAGACAATGTTAGGAAGAAATACGCAATGCGAACAAGACAGGACCTCATCGCCTCGGCAGACGATCCAAACTCACCCGCTCTGATTGGGGCGAACAGAGAGCCAACCGGGAGAAGCGGTCAATTAACGTGAGGGCGGAGTTACTTTACTGGCTGTAAGACGACCTTTCCAGAGCTTTCCACGTTCGCTTTAAATATCATTCACGAACTTTCGATTTCACATTTATAACGAACGGAGTGATTCACCAATACATCTCTGTTGCTCTGCTAGTCTGATCCAGTCTTTGTTCTGTCCTGTGGGGGGCTAGCGGGTTGATGCAAAAAGATCAAAGTAAGCCTTACCCTCAAAGACGTTGTCAAACCCATATTCCGAACCGAAAGACCGGTACTATACGCTGCGCATCCGATTGTTGATGCGGAACTTGATCGTTTGGAGTGGGTCGGCGTCATCTAACCTGTGAACTATTCAGCGTGGGTAGCACATATTGTTGTCGTCAATAGGACCAATGGAACCGTTCTTATCTGTGCTGATTACTCTACTGGATTGAATGCTGCTTTGAAAATGCACCAGTATCCTTTACCAGTCCCAGAAGATTTATTTGCTAAGCTTAGTGGTAACGCTTGCTTAATAAAGCTAGATTTATCAGATGCATATCTTCAAACTGAAGTCGACGATGCTTCATAGGAGTTGCTGGCACCGAGGCCTTTAACAGTTCGACCGTATGCCATTTGGTGTCAAATCGGCTCCCGCGACTTTTCAACAAATTATGGATACGATGTTAGCTAGGTTATCAAGAATCGCAGCTTACTTGGATGACATCATAATCAAAGGGTCTACCTTTCGAGAGCTGACGTAAAGACTGGAAGCAGTACTCCACCGCGTTAATGACTACGGTTTTCACTTGCAAGCAGAAAAGTACAATACCAGCATGAAGTGCGTAAAGTACCTTGGCTTCATCATCAACAACGATGGCCGTCGTCCGGTTCCTTCCAACATAATTGCCATAAAACAGATGCCTCCCCCCGACAATGTGGCGAAGCTCAGATCATTCTTAGGGTTGATCAGTACTTATAGCTCTTTTTTGCCCGAAAAGCATCGACTACGAGGACCGCTCAATGAACTTCTGGTAAAGGATCGCAAATTTGTGTGGTCTCCTGAATGTTAAGCCACATTTGATAATCTCAAGACTATATTGTGTTCTGACCTATTACTAACGCATTTCAATCCGGAGCTGGAGATTATAGTTGCTGCTGACGAGTCAGACTATGGAATTGGAGCAGCCCTATCCCACATTTTTCCCTATGGTTCAGAGAAAGCTATGGCACATGCAGCCAGATCACTCACCCCAGCGAAACGCAACTACGGGCAGATCGAGAAATAAGCGTTGGCTACACTGTTTGCAGTCAAACAATTTCACAAAATTCTCTAAGGACAAAAATTCACTCTGTTCACGGACCACAAACCTTTGGTCGCAATCTTTGGATCAAAGAAAGACATTCCAGTCTGCAGGGCCAGTCGTCTCCAATGCTGGGCAATGGTTCTACTTGGATAAGATTTCGTCGTCAAATATCAATCTACACACAACATTGGTCAAGCGGATGCATTATCTCGTTTAATTGGTACACAGCAGCAGGAACCAGAGTATTTGGTAGTTGCTCAAATCTCCGTAGAACCCCAAGTACATCAAGTTGTGTCTGACATTTTCGGTGCCTTACAAGCAACCTTCGAAATGGTGCAGGAAGCGACCCATCGTGATTCTACCCTACAACAAGTGCTCGATTTTCACCTTAATGGCTGGACTAAGTGAGTTACAACGCCGGAACTTCAACAATTCCACCAACGAAAGTAATTACTATCAGTCGTCAGCAATTGTCTGCTGTTCTCAGATCGCGTCGTCATTCCTCTCATCCTTCAAGTGTGGGTCCTCCGACAATTTCTTACTGGCCACCCAGGAATGAATCGCATGAAATCGCTGGTAGGAAGCTATGTGTATTAGCCCTATACGGATTCCCAGATCGAGAATGTAACGAAGCGTTGTCTCCGATGTGCCAGTGCATCTTGATAGTCAAGAAAGACGGAAATGCAATCCTGGCCAATGTCAACGGAACCAGGGTCAAGGGTACACGTCGAGTTTGCAGGTCCAATTGACAGTCATCATTTTCTCATCATTGTCGGTGCCCACAATTAATGGCCAGAGGTGAATCCAATGGTTAGAATCACTGCAGCAGCCATTGTCTCTGCTCTCCAACAGGTATCTTCTCGTTTCGGTGTTCCCACACGTTGGTTTCGGACAATGGTACGCAATCCACCTCCTCTGAATTTGTTGTCTTCCGTCGCAGACACGCGATCGTCCATGTATGGACACCACATTTCCACCCACAATTAAACGGGCAAGCGAAACGCTTTGTAAATACACTCAAAAGTGCCTTGCTAAAAATAAAAGGGGAAAGTACGTTGGAGGAGATTCTCGACACATTTCTTCTGGCGTATCGCACAACTCCAAATCCGCAGACACTGAACACATTATCTCCCGCGGAAACTTTGTTTCAAAGGAAAATCCGTGTGTCGCACGATGCCCTCAGACTAAGAGAGGATCAATTACTGTCCCGCAACTATCATATGGAGCGTTAATCCAACATCCGACACGGCGCTCGGAAGCGAGCCTTTAATGTTGGCCAACAAGTTCTGACGAGAGATTATCGCATCCACTATCCTAAGCGGGCTATGGGCCGTGTACTATACAAATGTGGCAACGTGATCTACGGTATCCAGGTTAGGACGGCAATTTGGCTAAGACATGCCAAACAGCTGCTAAGGGCAAGGACTGGCGAACAGCTGCAACAACAAGTACCAGCAGCGCAGTTACCTCTGGACATACTGGCCGACGCGGGTGAAGCGAATACTCCCCAACATGCCTCAACACAGCAATCCCAACATTCGCTCCGAAACCTAGCAGCACTGCAGTACGTATTCCATTCGTCAGCTATTCCAGAATAATTTTATCCTGCCCCACTCTATTATCGTGTGCGAACGTGTGCTCAGCAAGGCGTCTCAGATCCCGAGAGGAAGCTTCCAGACTCTCGTTTGCCTTTTGATAACGAGAGTGGAATATTTGGCGCCATTGCGTATGGAGCAGTGGAAGGTCTAGGAGTCGCGCAAGCTCTTCAAAGGTAGCTGCCTTAACCTATTTCTCCGATATTTTACTATGGACCGCAATATCGAAGGCTTCATCCACAAGCAATCCCAGCAAGTTATTTTCTCACTTGATCTCTGGGAAATTCAGGATGTATGCCCAACCTTGCTTCGCCCATCTGGAGTAGTGTAAGCCAAAAGAAAATTTTGCTCGTAGCTGCAATCATGGGAATAGTTTGAACAAGTGTAGGTTGAAGAATAATATTCTCTGAAATCCTCGACAGCTTTGACAACGTTGAAGACAAATCCACCCCAACCACTACTACAGTATGCTCTTCTAAAGTCCTTTCCATTATTTCCTACGTCTAGTTAGACTGGATTCTGGCAGGGCGGAAAACATGTTGTGTTCTGCGGTTCGGAATCCAGGTTTTTCTATGCAACAAAACTAGAAGCGATGGGTGGAGCAAACTACATTAAGTAAACCATGATTGGATCAGTCATACGACTTGCGGAGAGATCACAGGCGCAAGCCCACGCGCATCGTTCAAACAAGGTATTCGAGGAGAAAACGCTGATATGGTTTGATTAATCGGATGAATAATAAAAAACGCATTCTAAGCTCACGTCGTGTTGAAATGCTGGGGAGGTGAAAAAACGGACCCTGCGTTAAACTACAATTTATCAAATTCGACTAAACGTGAAGAAAGGATGTAATTGTGTGCATCGTCCTGCCCTATAAATATATATAATGGTATATATAATCGTTCATTAAATTATGAATGTAGAATTGTGTTTCAAAAGGTAAACGCTCAACATCCCATGTATTTAAGAATGTAAGTTCTAATGAAAGCGCCCCCACATCCACTTTTTTGAGCACATGTACACCTATTACAAGAATTCTTTGGAATTTATCGGAACGTTGTTCTGTGCACTCGCAAGAAGTATGGTCTTAGAAAACTGATTGCCCAGCACAGGAAGGACTACTCATTATACGTAAACCGCCGTATGTAATTTTACGCAACCAAGGTTCATCCTAATTCACCTTGTTTTCCTAAACATAACAAATATTCGGCAATCGTGATCATCCACCTTGCTCAGAACTAAGTAAGTTTTTATTGATATTAATTAAGTCGTTATTCACCTCCACGCATAGATAGCTTCAAGTTCAAAGAAGACAACAACAACAAAGTAGACAACGACAATGTACTTAAGAATTATCCATGAAATACATCAAAACGTAGTTACCAAAAAACATTCTCTATTACATGGAACGTGTCTACTTTCAAGTTGCCCTTTAATTATCAAAAACGGCTTATCAAACTATGGTCACTATCAGTCAAAGTTTTACTGGGGTGATAACTTGCGTGTCCGAACCTAACATAACCAAGTAGCGATTACATCATCCTATTGATGTAAACATGTAGTGATACGTCAAAAAAATTCGAAGAGGTGTTTGGTCACAACAGTATTCTCATCCTAACTTGCCACGCACATCTTGGTGAACCACTATTTGGCACCAGTTCCGCTGACCTAACTCCGAAACTTTCTTGGTATTTTACTGTTTTACTGGTCATGCCCCTACAGGTGGCATTTTATACAGTGGGTCTAAGGACAATACAAATATTGATCTTGTTCACTAACCTGCGTCAAAGAAAGGAAGATAATCCTTGAACTGACAGTTACTTCAATTTATTTTGGTTGTCCGCATGAAATTATTTCCTGGGTTCGCTTAAAACACCCCAGATTCACTGCTCAGTGCGACAATGATCGAGCTTTTAAATTTAGTACTAATTCATTTAAACCTGTGATTTGCTGAGCTTTTTTACTCACCGTGTAATTGGGGGCAGTGGTGGCCAATGTGTCCGAGAAATTCAGATCCATGCGATCGATGGTGTGGACATACGCAGCCGTCACTCTCTCCGTCTGCATTCAAGTCATAGCATTGTCCACCGTCGCGTGTGCATGGCTCGCACCTTGGAGCATTATGTGCCAGCTTAGGAACTGGAGTAAAAAATATGGTGATTCTGCTGTCAAGGTAGCTTACACAAGCAGTTAAGTGCCAAATTTTCCTCAACTCTACAGGCAAAAAGATTAAAAACTAAAGGTTGCGACACATAGGATGTTCGTTTATTCACCTTTTACTTCAATATGCGTTATGGTAACATCATTGGTAGAACTGCCGTCAAAACGGGGAATCATAGTGCATCCCAGGAAAATTCGAATAAGTAACCTGCAACTGTAATAAAATAATCTGCAGCGCAGACATGTTGAGAATCATATACATGCACACACACCTTTTTACATGCGTGTAAATGGATATATATATGTGTTTGTATATATATATATATATATATATATATATATATATATATATATATATATATAAATGTATATACATATATAAAAGTTAGCCGTTTAGTCTCATTGGGATTATTCAGTGGAGCGCACCTGCCCAATCCAGCAGGAATAGAACCAACAATCTTACTCCTGCAGACCAGCGACATATACCACTGAGTCAAGCGCAATAGCAGCGGAACGCCATGTTTGATATCTAACTGCAGTATAACGCGGTTCATCTTCCACTGTCGTGCATGTTCTTAACGCGCAGAGCACAGGGCTGGTCCCCGGAACAAAGACTTCCTTTGCAAGCAGCTACCAATCGAGTTAGCATGTCTGTCTGCGTCTAACGGCGAGTAATCTTCACAACAAGCCAACGAATCCCACTACTAATTTAAGTATATATATATGTATATATATATATATATGTATATACATATATCTGCAATAATGCTTACTGCATGCATGCTTAACTTCAGCGAACAAATATTAACGCTAGAAGATAAATACAAATTCGTATCTGCTATATGAAAGATTGTAACATTGTTTCTTAAATATTTTGTAAAATTCTGTGGTTTGCGGTTGTTAAGAATGATACCCGATTTTTTCATTAGTAATGAAATGTATACCAAGTACTACTTTTCTAATAGCTTGACACATCAAGCAATATAGGTCTTCCGGGAGTCACTCACGTTTCCTTTATAATATGCTTACATGGTTAAATAAGTGAGGTTTCATTTCTGCTGCAAAGTTAATGGATGCTGGCAAAAAATGCGGACTATTGGCTGGATTGGATCTTGAATGAACCCCACATTTGTTACTTCCATCTACGCATTTACTTTAGGTGGCATCCAATAAAATAATGGGTTGCGTAACTTAAAGTAACGGACTGGTACTTTAACCTTGTTGTCACAATGATTTTATATTGAGTAGCAGTTGCATAAAATAGAGAATCCTATACCAATTCTCTGAATACAAGTTGTTTTTCCAATGGGATTCAAAACTCAACCTCTAAGCGCGCGTTACTAGGGAACTTTAGCCTATAATACGGTAACACCTTCTGCGCATGTAGTTTGTAGACCTCGCAATGGCTTTTATCTAAAATGTCCTTTTTCTGATGCAGCTCAAAATACTGTTCTCATGTCAATATAACAAAAATAACAAAGTCGTAATATTCAGTTGCAGAAAGCTAGAGCGTCTGTGATGTGAATAAACTGACCTCATGTTTGGAATTTAACTGAATTGTATAAACATGTGAATTTTGGGAATTAGCCTCAGAAATGTAAAGTACGGTAGACAGCACTAAATTCTCGACTAACTTTCTCAATCGATTGAAGTGTTTAGGGACTAGGCCTCTTATCAATCTGCCTTAAAAATAAACTGATAATTGCTGGAGAAATGTCGATTGTTTCCCACATGTAAGTACAAAGCAGCTTTTTGGTATTGTCATTGCCATAGCAGCCATGCAACCCGTCCGGCAGTGACGTTCAGAGATCCTGTTTGGCAATCTGATTTTGCCACTTCGCCGTGAGCTGCTCGACGTATGCTAGCTGGGATAGATACAAATAAAGAGTCAGCAGATTTAAAGAAAGTAACCCAATCGGAGTAAGTTTTATGACTTTTTGCAAACTATGATGTGAACTGCTGCAACTGCAGTTAGTCTGCTCACTAAGCCATGTCCCATCAATCTTTCATGGTCCTAGTCACTGTGTTCTGTATCCAGATGGAGGCGCCAGTCCTATTAATGGAAGCAAAGTTTTCTGTGCTCAGTGGTCAAACACGTAAATGTGGTATGCAGATCACGTCCTGAGGCGAAAGGTTATACTAAAGATGTTACAAACAAAGTATATTTTACACTTCAGGTTTCGCAACAGCAATGCCATATTTTATGCATTCAACTTGCCTCAGTTCATCTGGACTAAAATCTTTTGGATTGGCCTAACCAAGGAATAGCAATTTACAAGTGTGGTAGCGAGGATTTTAATGTCGTAAGTAGCAATTCATGGAACATAGAATTAGTCAGACGGAAATCGCACGGGTCTTCCCCACTTTTTGCACGGTAGTCAAGTGCAAGTCAGTTGGTAATGAGCGGCGCTACACCGCATCACGACGGCATCGACCGTCCCCTGTAGCTCTGTGTTCTCTAATTCAGACTGGCAACAGTCGATTTGCGGGTTTGAGGTTTACAGGATTCTGAGGAAATGCACACAGTTGACGATTTCCGAATGAATTAAACGGCCGTACATTGTTTTTCCGGGTGTGTGATTGCTGTTCGCCTAAATAAAGATTCGATGAATTTCTACGAATAGCAATTTATGTTGCTTATTACAAAATTTTGTGGATTACATTCAGTTGTTTGAGGAAAGTTTACGCATACATAAAGAAATTTGTTTTGAGCTGTATATTCTGCAACCCGTTACAAAGGCAAATCAGAGTAAGATGGTACTATCCTTATTTTAATTGTCCAATTAAACATTTATCCTCTTCCATGAATTTGATGCACATTATCTTAAAAGAACACAAGCCATAGTGCAGAAAATAGTTGTCTAAAACCTCCAAAAACAATGCCGTTTGAGTAACTTACAACATTCAAAGTAATCCAAAGTTGACTGATACACGGGAATAGTTCCTGCCGGACATTGGCAAAGAGAGACTTGATCAACAGAGATGTGAACCGAAGCTTGATTTGAAAACACTGGCGCAGTGTTGGAAGCTGAGTCAATTTGCGACCTTTGATTAAAACGCAATTCATTACAAATTGCATTTTTTGAACGGCAAATGAAGGCGTACTGATCGCATTTTTCTCCAATTCCGACTGAATACGAATGACACAAAGTAGATAGGAGTGATCAATCTTAGTTTGGAATCAACACTTTCTGTTAATAAACCGCTGCAATTAGGTGCTACAGGCCATACTTATACTCATTTCGAGTGGGGCACTGGAACTACACAAGGCAGGCAGCAAGTAGTAGTAAACTTGGGATGCCTACTGGAAGTCACATGTTGGCAATGTACATTTAAGACTTTAATATTAATATTACATCCGGCATCATCCATGTGGCTTGGTGAATCTTCTGCTTTAGTTCGCTGTCAGCTAAATTCTTCCATTTCATTCTGAAATATCCCTGCCTTTCGTGCTGAAATTGGCTAACTGCATTATCCTTGAGTGAAATAAAACACTGTTCAATTATCTTATTCTGCCACTGTTTAGCTTGTGTTATAAGTAGAATATGTTATATTGTACTCTAAATTAGCGTCGGTTTTATAGATTGGGATGCGACACCTTTAGCAGTAGCACATGCACACAACTTTTACTGAATCATACCATTTACAGTGCTACTTCCCACTGTTTTTTCACCCAAGAAATGATAGACTAGGTTATAGTGCAAGACTACGTTGAGCAACAGAAGTTTGAGGGCAGTAACTCGCACCTAAAATAGAAAGCTGTTTTGTCTCTTGGGGACTCAGTTTTGTGTCTTACTTCGGCCTAAAAACGGACTGTGAAACGCGAAATTTTTAGGAACCAACGATTTCACGAATTTGTATATGGATTCATTTCAGATGCTCCACGCCGGAAGGTAATGACAGGTTAGCCACTGAAATAAGTTGTTGATTTCTGAGGATTTTATCCCAGCAGTTATAATTTGGTGCTTAAATATGCACCAGCATAACGAAATGGGAGAACAATTGCCGTACGCAGATTTGCTGTTAAGCCGAACAACCAGCGCAATTTTAGGGCTTGCGTTGAAGTTGACAGCTAGAAGTGACGTGATTTGCAATCGTCTGCAATACGGAGACTGTTTGTCATATGTCAATAAATATTATTGGATTATAGGGATATTAACATGACACAGTGTTCTTTTAGAGTCCACTTTATTTGGAGCTAAAAACTGTAGGAAATAATTCCTCCACACACATCACTAGCTGTGATTTCTCAAGTAAATAGGGACAGCCTACTTGAGACTACAATCAGATTATTAATTTGGAGGCATCTGATTCCGCAATTGCATGTCACTGTGGCCAGCTACAGGACGCCTGCGCCTACAGAGAGACCATCGGTGGCTTGCGCTACCCTGCAATAATCCGTCCACGGCCCGCTACTCTTTTTAGTCTACATTAATCTACTTGCAGCAGACATCCGCGATGCAAGTATATGCAGACGACGCTATAGTATGGAGAGCAATTCGCTCAGCATCCAACTGTGTCTATCTTCAGGTTGAGCTGGCTCAGATTAACGAATGGGCAGAAGCAAACCAGCACCCACTGAACCTTGAAAAGTGCCACCTGCTGACAGTGCGCAGCAGCTTCGTCAATACATATCTACTGGGGCAACACGTCCTGCAAACACGTGACTGGTGAACGCGACTGAGGTATGATCGTTCAAGAGAGCGAGTCTTGGTAATTCGCTCCAATGTTCGAAAGCAACAAGTGTGGCAAACTTGAACTTGAGGCTTTTGAGGCGAGTCCTCGGTACCTTTAAGCGACAGCTAGTATCAAAGTTGATTAACTATATTCTTCCTCACGTTGAATATGCCATTCAGGCCTGGTGTCCATGGTTAAAACGAGATATTCGCCTATTGGAACATCCCAAACAAGAGCCACAAAGGCAACGCGTGGACTATCCGGTCTAAGTTACGAACTGCGTCTTCGTGTACTCGGTGTGTTCTCATCAGAATACCGACGGCTTCGCGGAGATCTTTTTCTCACATACCGGATACTAACTAAAAGCGAGCGTCCATGTACATCACTGTTTGCCCTAGCCCCATATAAACAAAACTGACAACAGCCTGCAACTAATGACTCAACACTCCCATCTGAATCATAGAAAGTATTTTTACTTAGAATCTGTTCTCACTGTAAAGCATTACTAAGATATGTGGTGAACGCACCAGACATGACAACATTCGAAAGACTCTTAGACTTTCACCTTAGTGGTAAAAGCTACACAACAGTTTGATAAAGTGCAATGGTTTAATCTCTGATACTTCAAGTTCCACGTTGTAACATTTTGATTTTCTTTTTTTTATATACCCACCCTGTGGATCTTATGCTTTTTAACCTATCATACACTATTGAACTACTGAACATGAACCCATGGCGAAACAGTAGCAACACTGGGTAGACCATCTGTCAGGACCTAGCCATCACCAGCCTCAGCGCACCATAGGCTCTCCCACCAGAGTAGTATAAATTGATCTAAACCGACCTCCATAGCGCCAGCAGCTGACACGAAAACTAGAATCAGCTAATGCTCTTCCGGTTATGAAAATACTGTTTAAAAGAAACCCACTATTCTTGGTAACTGCAAAGTAAGCTCGTTTCTTACAGATTTCTGATGAGCACCTGTGCCTATTTGCGAGGGCAGCTTCTTAATTGCTACCAGAGGAATATGTACTACGTGATTACAAAAAAAATCGTTGGCGCAAGCTGGCAAGGCGTACCTTCAGGTACACGTTCTGAAGCCGGCTTTCCTCCAACTCACAAGTTTTAAGGCAACGTGCATTTAAACCCACCGTAGGTCAGCCATCGGACTACATTACGTGAGAGTCGATTAACCCAAATTTAATCTAAAAGCTATGGCACATTCAGCTAAAGAAGCAACTGTGGTATCGATATCCCACCGTGTGGCCAACCAAAATTAGGAAGCGTAGCCTAACCTATTCAATTTAGAAGTCGGGTGCAGAGAGAGTGCGGTCAAGCGGGGTAGAACGGTGTAAATTTCAACTTTAAGGCACTAATAAATACTGTCTTGAAATAGTTAAATGTAATGAAGCTACTCAATCGAGGATGATACCGGCAACTATTGCGAATCTAACAAAGGAATATTTTAGTTGTTGCTCAGGGGATGCATGGCAAATAACGGCGGTATGGATGTTAGATTTGTAATTATCTATATTCGCTTTTTACCTTTACTGTAGTTAGTGGACAGTTTTACCTTCCGCTACCGGCCCCAATTGGGCATGAAACTGACGCTTGCACTTAAAGTTCTTTGTTGTCTAATTTGAGGGTCAAATGAGAACATAGCTTGTTTTAATGAAATATTACTTAACATCTCAACGCGGACTGGGATTCGCACTTAAATCAATCTTAGTCTTATCGGGCACTGGAACTGTTGTTGTACAGGAAGGCTATTGGGAATTGCATTCTTCTATATTTTTTCAATTTATTTGACTCTAACCATTAGAGATACTGACATTAAATTATTTTTTTTTTAGTGTTTTATTTAGTGTTTCGGGGCGGACAACTGCTTATATGCATCTCTTTATCAAGTACAGTCCCGATGATCGAACTAACTAGTGAAAACTTCATTGAGAATCTCGGTCCACATTGAGATTGTGCGTAGAAATGCATTTGCGCAACGAGTGACCACCCGAATCACTCGTCAACGGTTGTGACAAGTGTTGCCCAGCTTCACTCGATGGCTTAAGTGCAGATGTTACGGTTAACATCCCAATGACAGGGGTTTGATACCCGTTATATCTAGCTGCTGACGGAAGTTCAAACTTGGTCGTAAAGTGCAGCGATTTCGACGTGCAATATCCAATATCCACTTAAATGTCCTCTTGTCGTAAAGCCGCATCGGTCAGCAAGCCTAGTCAAACGGGTGATTAAGGTCCTATATCCCAATCTCAAGTCAGTAGGGTTAAGGTAGGCGATGCAAATGAATAGCTATTTTTGTAGTATTCTTGGCTGCCTAGATCCAAACTGCAATTTAGGAAACATGGAACCCGAGCTCCTTTCAACTCTTACCCTGATCTAGGTGATTAGAGCATCTCCAAAATGCTTGTAAGAAATAATCAGGACTATAATAAGGAAACAGCGCATTTCAATCATTCGTGTGCTATTTGGTTGGATGTTAGTAGCTCGGGCACTTAAGTTGCTTAGTCTACACGAAACAGAAATTTCCTTCCAGCGTGTGGTACAGTAAATACTGGTTCTGAGCAGAAGACAAACTACTCAAGCAAAATACCTTTAGATTTTTAGTGAATTCTCTGGCTACTAAGTTCATCCAACTAATAAAATGTATGAGTTGACATATTAGTAAGCTGCTTACCATACAACGCCAGACCTACGGAAAAAAACGCTAGTCTTTTTATTAAATGTGGATTAAATCCGGCAGCCTGCATGAATCGTGTTGCGTTGCCGTGGATATGTCTCGTCCATTAATAAATCAGGTAAGTTTGGACTGTTTTCTGATCTACAACACATTGACAGCTCATTCGTTTCATGTTGTAAACATTATAACATAAGCAGTTGATGGAAAACAGTGGCTTCGCTCATTAAACTGGACGATATAATAGTAAGATTTACTGTTAATGTCATGGTTACTATTTTATAACCGCACTTATAATCAATCGTGCGCAGCCGAGTAATATTTCATTGAGTTCCTTTCTTTCTTTGTAGAACTTCGCAAAATTGTTGACAGTTTTAACTACGTATTCGTATGCAAAAATGTTTCACTTATCATTACAAACTCGTTTGCAGAGGGATACCGTTGCTTATAAGTTAGATATAACTTATTGTGGACAAGATATAGTTGTCACCTACAAAGTTATAGCAACATAGCGGCGCACATTGAGTCCAGTTGGGAGGGCAAGAAAAAAATGTCAGCATAGTTTGTTTATCTATGTACTAATGGTGTGTGAATTTGCTCACTTGGATTAATTCGTGGTTGTACTCAAGATTCCCCCAAGTCAAACTTACGTTTCTTTTAGTACGTACGATAATGGCACGCAAGCCAAAGCTGCATAAAGGCAGTTTAACCTGCATACGGGTCAATCCTTTGTAGTTCTTATGTACGTAGACTCTAATAAGCAATAGATAAGTGAGGCGCAAACTATTAGACCTTGATTGCAAAACAACGCACAATGCAGTAATTTTTGTATTCGGTTGATGCGAGAGGTTGTTTGGGTCGCTGTCCCGTGGATGTATGGTTGTGACTTGCGTCCCCTATCTGAGAATCTTACGCAGAGTGGCAGCGAATTTAAAAAAAGGATGGCCGCAAGGTTCCTTTTCGAGGATTCGAGTTCGATAGGCAAGCTGACTTTGACCAATTTCGATGCGAACTTTGATGGCAAGCACTGACGAATAAAACTTTGAAACTTTAATCACTCCTGGTAATGTTAGCCACTACCTACTTAATCACTGATAATGAAAGTTTAAAAGCATATAAATCAGGATATCCTGATATTTCTTGGTCAGCGTTTACCTTTACAGTTAGGATTTGTATTGTTTAGGCGTCCAATAAACGTGCTGACAGCAAAATGATCAGTTTTAATTGAATCACCTCTTCAGATCACAGCTTCAATCGCCCATTGAAAGCATGTTGTAGGTATTGTTTGCTATTTTCACCGGGTATCACGAACCTGTTCGTTCTCATGCAAAATATGTATTAATGATAGATGCTCTGTGTTATTTGCTTTCCGAGCTTAATAATTTTTCTGCAATCGTGTCATCGCAAGTCAAATTGGCATCGTCAGCGTGACTTTGACCGCTTCTGCATGAGGTCCGCAGAGGTCAAGCTTCCTATAAACAAGGTCAGCTAGCGACTCGTGAAAATGGATAAGGTTGAACACAGTCGAATTTACACGTTGGCTGATAAACCGTTGCTTCCCACGCTTTTCTTTAAAGAGTTCGGTGTGGGCCCACGCTGTGACAAAAACTCCTTGGAACATGACAATACTTTATTAAAACGGTCATCATAATCTCTGGGCTCTCAAACTCAGTGCGTGCAACTGGTCCGAAATGATTGACACTCGCCTGTTCATTTCGATCATACGACTATTAGTAGAGTACGTCTCAATCGCGAGTTGCAAGTAATTTAGCGGCTACAGCACTTGGCCATCAGACTCATCCTTACTTTGCGAGGTGTGCCGTATGAATACAGGGGCAAGAGGTTAGGACTTCACAATCTTTATTTGAAGCAACTTTACGCCACCAACTTTACGCTGCACGTAGTCGAAGCACAGTCGGTGGTGGAATGCGAAAAGCTTTTGGAGCAACACTTTGCCGACATGAAAAATCGCCAAACAGGTAGATCTTTTTATCTGAGGGCGTTTAGCTAGACCTACCTAGGGATTTATCTGCTAACTGCTCCTGAATATTACTCAGTTTTCAGTGCGTTTTGTGAAGCGCATTGCTTGGTTCAGCTGAAAATGAATACACTGACGATGTCACGTCGATCAGAGAAGAAACGCCTGTATCACATTTATCGTTCAGCAAATAGTTCATCTAACAAATGATAAACTTGGATATTCATAACAAAGAAGTTCTATATCTTAGCTGGTACTTATTAATTGTCGAACTCAACCGAATTGCCAAATGACAAACAAACGACTGAAAAGCAAAAATTATTTTGTGCTCTATAAGGTTCCACTCGATAAAGTAGTTCCTTTCGTAATTTGTTAGAATCATCATAATGTACAAATAGCCCACTGGGGTTTACTCCCTGGGGTTTCTTCGACATTCGAGATTAACACCACAATACAGACTCACAATACCATTTCGTTTGTTAACATCTGAGTCCATAACTACTGTGCTCTATCTGAAATCTTTTAACCCGGGAAATGTTATACATATCAAACTAAGTTAAATATTACAATATTTAGCAGAATCTGCCAAATGCGTTAGCCATGAACTTTTGTTAATTTTATACCTTAAAAATACTATTTGTATATTATTTCGGAATATTACGAAGTACACGACTAGTGTGCACTTGCTCTTGAACGAACTATTTTTGTCTACCTGCTTACTACTACCAAAGGTTTAAAAGACGCATGTGTATCTGTCTCAACAAGACATATCACCGAATGTCTCCCTCATTAAACGCACAAATTGCGCACGTATGGTCGTTTTAACTAAGCTTTCGTGAGCTGATTAGTAGACAGTCTGGATCAGTCGCAGTTAGGAAGCAAAGCCCTAGACAAAATGGCTTTTACTCAGTGAATTCTCTCGACGACGGCGCTTTGGTGTTTTAAAAGGAACAGATCACAGTATATTTTTCAGGACACATTTCTGAAAGCAAAAATATAGTCCAATAAAGTCCCCATAACTAAGTGCACTATTAAGAAGGGTTTACTTAAGATAGAAGTGGATTAGACTAAGGTAACAGTGCGGTTCAACAAAATTCTGTTGAGCCATATGCATAAGCTTTCTAAATCGTCATCTGTAACATAGCCCGCTCAACTTCCGTGAATATCTAAGAGGCCACCTTGCCGGGAATTATATCATTTAATCTATTGTTTACAGCAACATTCAACTTTCTTCATGTGGGACCAATTGTTGGTTGCTACTGGGATCGTGCTTATTTCTCAGAGGGATGAAGGTTTGTAAAACAACCGATAAGACAATAATCCATGAATTTCAAGACATTGTTTTGACATTATCATGAATCAACTTGCATACTGGGTCCCATGATCTGATCTAACAACAAATTTGTAGAGAAACACACATTGTATGTATACCAACATAATTGTGAGGAGCTTGGATTATGGTTTCTTACTGGCGTAAATAAGCATTCATAAGACCGGAGACTAAGAAAATATACTACTTTTTACCCGTGAAAGTTACTTGAAACTCACGCACCCGTTTCCATAGACCACATCATTGGTACACTGCTACTGTAAGGATTGTATTTTGATTGTATTTTGATTTCTCTAACGCTAGCAAATGATGAATAAATCTCATTCGCGGGATTTTGTGAAAGGAGTAGCTTATGTAGACATAGTAGCGGATAGCTGAGTGGTGGTATTACTCTTTATCCTTTCAGTTTACCTTAAAATTCGTCTCACCATCCCGTATAAAACGTAGTGATTCTCGGTCAGATGTTTAACTTGAAAATGAGTTTTGGTCCGACACCTATTCTTAATAGACAAAGCCAAATTGATTATCCGCAGTAATCAATCCATAATTCAAGATCTTGACATCATTTAATTCACCTTCTCTACTTCGTATAATCCAACTTTCTTTAAAAGTGGAACTGCCAATTGCTTTATACTTTCGAAGCAAATGTAAGCATAAGAATTTCCAAGTGCCCCCATTATACCCACTTATTTTTCTTGCATTTGGAGCGAAAGGCTTGTTTGTCTAATTGTTACACCGCAGCATTAATATATTGGAATACGTAAGTCTTATATCCACCAATGCTACTTTGCTTTAAATACTTTTATGCTTTCTCATCTAGGTTTATTCGGAGTATTGTAAAGTGAGTCCAAAGACAGCTTTCTAGTTCCGATATCCAGTCATAATTCGCAAGCCTCCAATTGCGCTTTGATTGTTGTTTCACTTTTTCTGAATACGCATAATTTAATCACTCAGTGCTCTTTTATTTTTGGTCTGGTTTTGACGCTTTTTTATAAAAGGAAAGCACCGTCTAGATGCAAAACGACTTACGTGTTAAACGTTTTCTCACATATCCGACTGAGGCACTCAGCTCTGCTTTTATTTGTTTAGACTAATATTATATTTTGCATCCTTATAAATTTAGTTTAATATCTAAAGACGATATAGTTTCCTTGGTGAAACCCAGTAAACATTATTTACATAATAGTTTGTTTTTTATTTGAGATGCACATCAGCGAGTGTCTTGCATTCATATTCCAAGGTCTGTGAGCGTCCTAATGGTTGTTTATGCATCTGCACTTTCCATTTGTCCAATGTATCGCGCATGTATATTTACAATGATTATTTATTTTAGACGGCCTTTCTTCTGTTTTAAATTGTCAACTCGTGAACTGTTGCGTAATCATCAAGCCTTATCGCTATCTCTTGCTGCAGTTATCGGTTGCTACCAAAGGCTGAACTGATCTGAAGGACAACCTACAAAATTTCCCTTGTGAACATCCTGAACAAAAATCTCTCATGACGATTAATTTGAACACTTTGGTCCGACCAGCTAAGTTGAGCAGGTTTCGCATTGAAAAGACATGTATTATCTAATTAGTATTGATACTGAAAGTGAGTTACCTACCAGATCTTTGGCGATTTTGAGGATACGAGATTAACAATGTGGATGGTCCAGGAGATGATTTTTACTTTTATACCCAGCTAGTTCGCACAAATGCTTTACAGTGATACGCATTTGTTAATAAAGAATAGGCCCATTGCAACTGTTAAATTTTAAATCAAATCGGATAATACCATTAAGTAATAACACGAGTGCAAGGGTGGGGTTCTTGCAGATATAAATGATAATTATGCTTCAGCATTTCGTCAGGTACACAGTGTTTATATGCCTAATTGAGGCTGATCTGTTCTGCAAGAAGTTAGTTCTATTTTATGGGGAGAATTTTATTCATCTAGCACTTACCAAGTTCACCGGAACATATGTGTTCTGCCCAACTAGGTGAGCGGATGCGCGTAAATTTTCCTTGACCAGGGCAAACACAACCGATAAGATTTGGGTTGTGCCTATCAAATGCAAACAAAGAGTTGCTCATTTCCCTGGTATGTAAATTAAATGACTAATTTTCCTTAGAAACGTCACGTTTACAGGGCACTTCCATTGACGGTAGAAGCATTACAGACTCCGAACTGAAGACTGACAAATTGCTTAAGGAGCAGGAAAACAAAAGTGCGGCCTGTAGCTTTAATGGGCTATGATTTGACGTCACATTAAATGCCGAAATGCTATTCGTGCGTTGAAACTACAGAAAACGTGATCCACTATCGACCCACAAACTGTACAGCCAATTCAGGTTTCAAAACGCATAACGCTTAATTTAATGTACAGCGAACAAGGCATTTACTTAAAAAACGGTGTCTTAATAATTTGTTATCAACCTATATCAATGCGCATCACTAAATTAATACAACTGCAAACATGCATCCTCGACAGCGCAGCTGCTTAAAAGATGGAGAACTAGTTTACTTAACTGGGAAGCAATAGTCCATTTAAGAGGCGAATATATGCATATATATATGAATATACATAATGTAAAGTGCTTGTTTATGAACGAGTATGTGCATTCAGCGCCGTTTCACGGTGCCCAGCCGCTTTTACGTTTGTTTCACCACCATACATTTTCGTGCCACTTTACTGAACAATAAAGCACAGAGGTTTCTGCATGACGTACCGCAGCAATTCAACAAAATCTGTCAGCTTTTTACTATTATTGACTTCACTGAGAATCAGGGCTGGTTTGGAACTAAACTTCCGAATTTAATTTCGTGAAATTAAACAGATCCGATGAGAGAGATCTAGCATATATATATGTTTAGTGTCATTTCATCAGTGCATTCGGTTTTGTCTTGTACTAAGTTGCAAGAGGTGGAATTTTCAACTATGGAAAAGTAACCATAGTTAAATGCTGAAGTTTCACCATTGCATCCTATAGTTGATTGCATTGTAGAGATGCCGATTTCGTCTCGTTTATCACAGGTGCCTCGATAAGATGACCTAATATACACCAGAACTATAAACAAAACACAGGACATAAGTCACTCAACTATCATGCCCAGTGTTCACATTCGTTGTTGAATTGTCTCGACAGTCAGGCTCTGATTGAACTCAGGAACTAGTGTTAAAAATATGCGGTAAGCTGGATTAATCTACTGCTTTACGTTTTGCGCTATGCATATGTAGATAACTTATTTTACCGCTTTGCGTGTCTGCATTCTTCGCTGCACCAGTTACTGAGTGTATATAACTGCAAGCTACCATTCATGACATTGACCAGAGGAAGTGAAGTGCATTTACATACCGGACCTCTAATAATGTGAATTTTACATCGCCGAAAATAATCTGCTGTTTTAAACAACGACATTTACCGATTCAATTATACATAAACCGACACTAAAGATTAGATCCACTCTTTGAAAGTATGCACACTACACCCATAGAACTCCAGATATAAAACACGTAAGTGATGTAACCCAGCTTTTGACCCATTAAACCTGAGGCGTCATGGAACCTAAATGGTCAACTGTGTTAGTCATTTCAGAGATGAGTTTGAATGCCAAAGAATTCGTAAAGTAAATCCGACTACAAAATGGTTTACTCGATCTTTGCCACATTTTTGACTAACAGGATTCTAGGATAGTAGTTCTGGCCAAACTATTAGCTGCGTTTTATTCATATTTCATTCGTACCTATGGTAAACCAACCCAGGTGAGAAACAAAAAATAAATTTCCACCCACCTGACCTCTTCTGCATCAAGTTCATTTGGTTCATAATAGAAGCAAACTCCACCAGCCTCTTGACAGACTTTACAAATGGAATCTCTTGCATGGTCAGCACGGCTTCCTGCAAAAATAAGGTGTTTTGGATTATCAATTCGAAACTAATCATGTGATACACAGTACCACATTTCTCTTAATAGTTACACAAACGCACAAAATGGTGATTGCTGCGTATGATACAACTAAATACGAAACGAATAACACTAAGTGCTTTAAGAAAACAGATAAACAGATTCGCTTATTTAAAGCAGAATAGTTTTAAAAATTTTGGTTAGCTTGCATTTTGGAATAACTATCTCGAACGCTTTGCTTGATATTTAATGGCTAGTAATGGCATTTATTTGAATTGGTATGTTATCCCCTTAATTATCGGCGGGTCACGGATTATCAGTAATAGCAGCAAATAGAATATTTTGGATTTAGAAGAAAAAATTTCGTGGCTATGTTGGCCCAATTTTACCGGGCTGTATTTAGTTGTACGTTGCTCTAATGCATGAATTTTTACATAGACGGTATCTTGCCGATCTCTCTAGGGTAGGATAAAGTATAGAAGATGCACAGTAGCAAAATGTCGCTTCCTGAGCACGGTAAAGTAAAGCATCAATGCCAGTGACAAACAACATAGCGAGTAATTCTGCACCTTTCAACTGACATTGTTTTGTAGTTCCCTGCTCGTTTTAGCCATCATCACTTTGTTTAATTTCTAACAATCTCCCGTACAAAGAAGACCGAATGTTCGACAGCAAACTATCGCGATTGCTTGATCTCCTCTCGAACCGGGAACCTGAGTAACCACTAAGTTAGAATACTCAGAGAGTTATCTTAATATTCAACCAAGTCAGCCAACACCAGTGCGTTCAGTCGCATGGAGATAACAATCTGTCACAGCTAAACTCCGTTAATCATTTAACTGCAAATATTAATGAATGCTACTCGTAGGTCGCGTCATGCCCTACCGAGTAAGCATGAAGTGTCAACAATTCTTTGATCCGGTTTAAGCTTATCTTTGTAAAGGCCACGTTACCAACGTGAAGATAGATTTTCTCACATCAGTACACAGCTTTAGATCAATGATAGCGGACTTGAATTTTACCCTGCCCTGTAGATCCATATCTTCGTGAATATGGACCTTTGACCCGCTTAGCTTAGAGGGTGGGCAGTGGTCAGCCTATACTACATTCCGTAGCAAATTTACGTTCAAACTCCAAGTTCTGTCCTTATCATTCTATTCGAGATAGAGGGCTGTTACACCTACTTACACTGTTCACCACGTGCAAGGGTCTATCAACAAAAGATGTGCACAACATCTCAATTAAGGTTACGAAAACATTCTTATTGGTTAATTGACAGACTGCGCGACACATAAAGCAGACAGCAACATTTGGCAGCAGGTATTACTAGTGGAAGTTCACCTCGTCATCAATAATAACGCAGCAATCTGATAAACACTAATGAATTAATTGAAGGATATGGGAACTATTGATGAACTATATAACAACATGCGCAACAGGCCATGTAGACAATGCGCGATTTCTGAAAAAAGGATGCATTTGAAAACAATCAATGATTCCACACATTTAGTAGTATAAAGGGCAATGAACTACGAAATCTCGACCCAGGAAGGCTATCTCCAACGGTACCAAGAACTTGCCTAATAAAAAGACTAAGACGAAATCGGTGTCGGTATTTCACAGATTCCTAGAACCGTAATATATATTTCGGTAGCTTATTATATTTGGCTAGGATTTGACTCAGCTTAAACATGTTCACACTAAGTCGGAAAAATGACACTTTTCTACGTTTGTGCTTGATAGCCTTACGATGGAATAGAACAGGTGTTTGACTATTAACTCCCTTATTTCGGTATTCGGTATCCGGTGTGCTGATGAAGCTGGGTTATTACTTTTTGGAATACAAAGTAGCACCTGCTTAGATTACGCAGCAGAAGTTTCTTACTTTTGATTTAATCCACGATAAGTTACTCATTACGTAGGCGTAATTTCCAGAATTACTATTTTATCTTGAATAACCATGAACAATGATTTTATACTTGTTAAGAAGCGTTGCTTTAAAAGTCCCATGACATAGTTGTTGGGAATATCGGCATAACCATAATAACACTAATGGTAGTAAAGCGGTTATCACTTAAAGTATGAAAATAAGTACTTATCATTTCCTCTGCCTTAGCCCTGCACTCCGTTTAGATTCACAGCCCTCGCAGTTGACATCAAATATTTCCATGGTAAACTCCAGGTGTAGGATGGAGACATAGTGCTAAGTGACAAACTGTAAGTGGATGAGTGAATCATCCAACCGTCTTTTAAATACTGTTAGTGTTGGTGCAGAGACGACCGATTCTGGAGAGCATTCCACTGGTGACTGACAAGAATAGAAAAGAGATTTCTGCGACGCTCCATGCGGCTATACTGTACAGCGAGTTTCAATGAGTGGCCCCTCAGGTTTGTATTACTGCAGAGTTTCAGTAAAGAGCGGCACACATGATGTGGGTCTCGCATGATCAAGTGTGTCATAATCAGGTCGCCTCGTATTCTGCGGTAGCTTCTGCTGATAACCCAAATGGTTGCAGCCTCTCCTGGTATGAGAGATTGCGCATTCCAACTACATTCTTAGATGCCCAACGTTGTGGCTGCTCTAGTGCATTATGGTCGTGTTTCAACCATAAAGGCCAAGCTTGAACTACTTATTCCATATGGGGGCGAAAATACGTACTGAGCATTTTTCGAAATATGGATAGTGGACCTGTGCACGACAATTCTGTTTGCATCTATTCATTTACCTGTTCCTATGGTTCAGGATTCCTTAGTCGTACGACTAAGTTTCTATCCGAGTGAATGAAAGAACACCGTCCGGCGTGGCTTGCGACCGACTGCAGAAAAGTATGTAACTCAGCCATGGCTGCCCACTTTGTCGACACAGGCTACAACCTTCGGCCAGCAGAAGAATTCCAAATTATTTACAAGGCCCCGGATAACCGATCGAAGTATATGCGCAAAAGGATACTAGAAGCCGCTGAAGCTATAGCAATCCGACTGTACAAACCAAATATATGCACTCAGAATCGACTTGTCCAAACTAGAACTGCCTTGACCCGATGGAGTAGTGATTTTTACTCAGTTGGATCATATGAATACTACGATATTGACCTGAGTATTGGCGATCGTTGAGCTCTGATTTTGTCCCGTTTTAATGACTCAGTAGTCTGTCTAATCGATATAATCGATATATAATTTTACTAGCCTGATGAAGAATTATCGAAGCATATGTCCGCTAACGTTAACTTTTGATTACCTTTATGGGTTTCTTTAAATCTGTAAATATAGAATTGTTTATTTGCCAAAACGCCGATCGCAACAGTCCGATGTGTTGGTTCCCAGTCTTTAAGGGCGTTTTGGAATGACTTGAGAAACGCCCATCATCGTAAAGCAGGACACCTAAGTCACCTTCGCGAGTGAATCGTCGTAGTATATTCATTCCGAGCTGGTATGCTTAGCAGCTGTGATGTCGTATGGAAAGCACGTTGCATTTACTGACGGTGAAATGCAGTAAGTTTTTGGGTTGACCATTAATACACCATATCTAGTGCACTCTGAAGCACATGTTGGTCGGCTTTTGCCTGAATCCTGCGCCAGATCTTGATATCGTCGGCAAACATTAGAAAGTTTGAAACGATTCCTTGTGCACGGTCATTAATAAACACCAAAAACAAACGTGAAGCTATAATTGAGCCTTGTGGCACACCACATTCGACTTGTATGAGGTCCGATAAAGAGCTCCGAACTCTGACCACTGATCGCCATTGTAGTAGGAAGTTGGCAATCCAGTTTAAAGAGGCTCGCGGATCCCGTAATGCTGGAGCTTGGAAAGTCGTATCCGATGGTCTAGACGATCGCAAGCCTACAAAAATCCAGATAGTTCACGCCAACGCCTTCTCCTGCGTCAGCTGACTTGGTACAACTACTGTGTGCGATTGTTAAATTCGTTGTACCAGACGGCTGTCAACGGAAACCGTACTGCCTAGGCCTGATGATGCTGTAGTTTTCCAGAGAGCACATTATTGCATAGGCTACTGTAGATTTCATGACCTTGGAGAGTATAGGAAGAAGGAATATTGGGCGGTAGTTGGAGGGATCAGTTCTGCTTCCAACTTTGTGAATCGGGGTTATTATTCCAAGCTTCCACATGGCGGGAGTTTGATTCTGATCTAAGCAGCGCTGGAAAAACTGGGCTAAAGGTGTTGCCAATTAGGTTGCTGCTGCTTCCAGTGCCTCTAGACGAACGGTGTTGACACCCGGCGCTGTGTAGAGAAGTCAGCTTTTGTAATACAGCCTCCGCGGTAAAGGGGATGTGGGTTAGCCCTGGTTAGGGGACGGCAAATGTTGGTATGTTGCTTGGTGGCAAGACCCTTTGAAACGTGGGGCATATTGCAACCGCAGCGTGTTTGCTGCTACCACAGCCGTTCTTGCTGTGTCATCAGCCGTCCTGAGTGTAAGAAATTCTTGCCTCACCTTTCGCAGGCTATTAACGAGCTTGTACAGCAGTTTGTGGTTAGCAATGGAGGTTTTTGCGATCTTGTCCTGATAGGCCGCTTTGTTTCCTCTTAGCAGCTAGGTGCAGTGGTTACTTTGGGCTACTTAGTTGTTCCAATCTTCTGGTGCTGGAGCTACTGTGTACACTCACCATGTTGCTTCGCGCACTGTCATCCATTCCCGAGTTCTGCTCCTAGCGAAAGCAACCGATTTACTCTTATTGCAAACATTTATCTCTGAAGCCTCTGCAATGAGCTGACTGAATATTTTGCCGAACTCGAGCCAAGCTATGCCAGGGCTTCACCGTCAGGGAACGACCACGTTGTGGCGCTGACGAGCTGGGCTAATCGATCGTAGCTTGCGATGGTTCGCACAGTCACATCGTTCTCATTACGATATTCTTCATAGCAGACCAAGTTGAAACTGATGGCTGCGTGAACACTACGACCCAATGGGCAGTCTACCACCAACCCATCAATCATATAATTCTTGTTGATAAGCACTAGATCCAGCACAGATGGCCTGGTACCTGTTCTGAACCGAGTGGGCAAAGTGATGTGATTGTAAAGCGGAATAGTGGTTGCAATAACTTGTAGATCCGCTTTGAATTTTTTCCGATCCTGGCTGGTGTTTCTACACAATGTACATTGAAAGCCCCCATGATAAGGATATGAGTTTACGTTCCTTATAAACTGCATCTTAAAGCAGCCGCTAGGTGCTAATCTTCTTCAGTTGTATATTTAGGGGGGCCGTACACCAAGATAATAAGGCAAGCGTCCCTGCCTTTTAACAACAAGCGGCAGCAAAAAGAGTTGGGGAATTGCGAGTCTGAATCATCCACGGCTTCACACTGTAAGTCGCTTGGGTACTAACGCATTACCCCTCCTCCTTTTGTGAGCTAGTCGTTCCGGATCGGCGACATTCTTGGTAGCGGAACTTCAGAGTTCGTCATTCTCTTGTGCAACCACGTCTCGGTGATACCAATGATATCATATGACCCGGAAGCTTGGCGATCTTTCAGTTCGGCCAGTTTATTAAAAAGACCCTGAGCTTTCGTATACAAGCAGGCCAGTTTCTCTGTTTCTAGGAGCTCACAGAAGAATAAAGCAGTCAATTGTGGGAGAATGCCGACTGACGGGAGGTCTGGAGTTACTCGTTTTTTGATGGGATAATAATTTTTCGTATGCAACTTGATTCGGCCAAGATGCGTTCCAATCTTCGTTTAGACCCATGTCAGGATTCAATTAAAGCAGCAATCAAGTTAGGATTCTGTACATTCGTCGGTATGCTTGCTGCTTCAGATGCTTTAATATTTTTGTTGTGCAAATCTTCGGCGATCTTTAACCAAACTTCAGCAAGAATACGTTTCCGATTTCTTCGCCATCGATCCAAAACATCTGCTGTTTGCTGCTCTGGCTGAACCACAAGTTTGAGGATTCTAGGGTCGCATCCTCTATAATTTGGTGAGAGAGATATCCTGGTGAGCGATAGCACTACAATATTATATATATATATATATATATGTGCACGAATGAACCACCATTGTTCTAAATCGTGCTTTCTGGTATCTTGTACATCTCTAGAAGGGTGTTCTGGCACGCCATGTATGAAGAGTGCGTTTAGGCGGTCTTGCTTGTTGTGCCCCTCTTCGTAGTTGCTTTTTGATTGTCGCGCGCTCCAAGGGACAGCAGAGTGAATGCGTATTCTACAGGATCCGTGTTTTTCGAACCGGGGGAGTATTCTAACCGAATAAAATGATCAGTGGTCTTTGTGGAGTTTAAAAAACAGCATGCTCAGTGGATTCATTTTCTGAGTTATAAAGCTATCTTAGCTGAACAAAAATGTATGCGTATGTAATATTGTATGAACTCCTCCACTTCGCATGAGGCAATATTTACCAATTTAGGACCTCAGAAATCCTAAGCTGATTTGCAGTGACAAGTATGAATTTACCATATTACTTCTGCAAAATTTATGTTCAGATTTATGAAGACTACTATAAATACCTACGGTTTGTCCGGCGAATTTGTACCCTTGATATTCTGCTATCCAACAGAAGGATCATTGCTTATACCCACAACAATTTCCTATAAGGAATCTGCGCAGCTCTGTATAACTTTGACGACAAGTGCTTATATATGCATCGCGTCTAAATGTAGCGGCATGTCATAAATGTTCCGTTGAGAATGCAGTAATCCCGGCATTATAGACGTAGATTTGTATCTTACTTGATCACTTGGGTATTTAAATCATGGTGTTGTTTTAGTTGCAAATTGTCGGCTAGAATTGCTGTCAAAATTCTAGATCGGTTGAAGTTTAGTCATTGGTTTTGTCATATCCACCGTCAGTATATTATTTTTGATTTGTATGCGCAAGTCAGGCCGATATTCAAAGGCCACGCCGGCTTACATCTAAGGAGCTTCCAGTTTCTTGTACCCGTAAGCAAATCAGAACACCCGAACACTGTCTGTCTGTCTAGATTTGAATGTTTTTCTTGCGTTGACACGCTGGCTAAACGCAGCTGTGAGCTTAATATTAAGCAGCACATTAAACATTGCAGTTCGAATAGTAACAAAGTGTAAAGCGGCTCCTTTCGCATAATACGCAATTGTGGGGATTTCAGAGTCAAAGTACAGACAACTGACTGCTTACTCAGGTATTTTGCAACAAGTTTGATACCACATCACAAGTTTCAAGCAGTCACATTCAGTGCTTGGACAGTATTTCCCTGGGTAAAGTAGCCTAGGTTTTGGTTTTAATAAGCTCATCCTGAAGTACATGTAGCTATGTCCAACATCTCTGGCTACAAAGCAAAAACACCTACTATCTTCAAAAATTCTTTTTATTCGTTCCTTTTTTTAGCGGCAGGTCTAATAATCAGACCCATTTCAGTCTATATCCCATACATACCTGGGCTACCAGGTCAAATTCATTAACTGCTCCAACGTGGTGCTAAATAAATCGGTAAAGTCTATTTACCGGATGAAGTAGCTCATGATGATATTATTTCAAGTTTTCAATATACTCATCTGAAGAAAAATAGTGATACCAGATGAACGCAATCAAGTACACCATATTTTATCTTCAGGTACCATGTTGCAGCGTGTCTGGAGATCGTACTCATTAACCCATAATTAACAACTATTAAGTAAACACCAATTACTACTTCCGGCTGCCTTGTCGAACAAACAGAACATTAGTGACGGAAAGCTACAAATTTGGAATGCAATTCTTAACCTATAAACACATATCTGACTATGGCTCTATATTAAAAAGTGGAATGCATTATGTATGTACATGTGCAGCGCTGAAGAAAATGATCATTCAACGACCTTCACACCCCATGCAAATAAGGAGTAAATTAGCCCAACTGAAAAATAGCCACAGCAACATCTTGCAACAGTTATGAATATTATACAAAATGAAGAGCACATATGGCATTACATAGATTGGCCATTTGAGCTACCTAGGACAAGGCAGCAGATGTGTTAATGGCAATCGTGAAATAAATAGTAGTTGTATCCGCCGGCATATTTTTACCTAACTCTTCTATGTAAACCACTGCTTGCGGAGCAAATATTTATTAGTGATAACTTAAGTAACATATCTCTATTAATAGCTATTGTTTGCCGAAAGAACTAGATATCTGTTCAATTGTTTCACCTAACTGGACAACATAGAGCTGATATTGCGACTTGAAATCAATGCCTCTGTCCCTCGAAAATCCCAACTGGTCACAAGTTTGTCGTAAATCACCTTATAAGTTCCCGTGCATTACTATGTGATTGACGTTTATTGGAAAACTTTACTAAAGCTTAGTTATTTGACTTACTGCATGCATGTTGTTGCGGCACATAAATTGTACTACCCGGGCAAGAGCAGTATCCAGCTCCAGGATGACAACTGCTTCGATTGACATGCACACAGTCACGATCTGTGCGGCACTTCAGGTCCGTCAAAACTAGACAAAAAAGGAACATGTTTCTGCAAGGTGAAAAATAACGAAATGAGTAGGAGGCAATTAAACTGTCTGCAAATTGTCATTCAAAATTGTCTTTCCATTTGACTCTACGTGACAAGGCGCATTTCAAAGCCTATCGGTTGACTTAAAACAATTGTTACAGGCATTTAAGTTACCTTAAGTTTCGATAATTTAATTCTTAACCTAAAGCGTGTAACTAAAATGAATCACAAATCGACATCATTGTATGCCACACTTTTTAGATAAATGACGAATTTTGCATTACTTGAGTTTACTAAACTGACAAATACAGATAATTTGTAACAGGCTTACATATAAGCGAGAACGACTTATTGAAGGATACCGAAATGACACTTGGACAGGTAGTATTTGTGACTAGTTTTTACCTGTGGTTCCAAATCGTTGCTTTCAAACGTATTGCACCACTTAATGTGATTAACAGATAATATCTGATGCCTGTACGTCTATTATAATCCTGATAAATCTAGTGAGATAATGACTGCTTGGGGGCAATTACTTCTATGATAGACGGTTGGTTAGTTATAAGCTGCAAGGATTTAAGGTATGTGACTTACACTAGACTGCGCATGATGTAAATTGAGTGGGATTATTTTAACATAACATCATACTAAACACTAGGCACAAAAAATATAATTAAGTAAATAGAAGGAAGTTGAAAACATGCATTTTACATTTACACATGTTCCGATTAAGAGAAAATCCCAGTTGCTGAACAGAATTGGAAAAGAAATGTAAATTACTGGGTCAGAACTAATTGTTTTGTTATAAAAGCGACGAGTTACCCGAATATTTTACAGTCCGCAGGCAATATATAGCCTGGTTAGCTGGAATTTTATCTAACGTAATGTTGGAGAAAAGGAAACAAATATTTCAAGTTATTTTGAATATAATAGTTATGTCATGGTTCCAAGAAAATATACATTTTCTCCTGACCTTCCTGGGCTTGAGTAAACCTTACTTAGGCAGACTTAATGAACACTTTCATGTTATGTAAGAGTAACGAGCATATGACCATCTGGACAGCGTTTTCGGGACACACATTGGTATATATCGGTAACACATCAGGAAGGATGACGTTTGTTAACCAGGAGAATGAAAGCACTATAAACCCTTGGTGATCCCAAATTTCTTTGTGTCAATCGAATACTGATCGTTCTAAAGTATGTATCCTAAATGATATGGTACATGTTTACATGTGTATGTTAAACCATATTTCTGCAAAAAATGGTCTAAAGTGGTAATGTCAACAGCTAGTGATGAAACCTTCGTGTTATTGAATTAATGAATTTAATTACTCATTCCGCACAAATGCGAGAAGCAGTTCTGAAATAACTATAAAGTTCCCTGAAGGGGTTTATCTTAACACTGTCATCTTGGCTACTCTATATTATAACGACTCGCGAATGAGAAAAATAGTGGTACTCTACCTTAAAAGGAAATTCTCTTTTGAAAAGATCTATGGTTATGACCTCATAATGTACAATCTAGCTCCCGGTAGTTAGTGGATAAGCCGTATACTTGTGGTGCCAAGCTCCATGAGTTAGGATTTTATGAGTCGCAAAAGCTGTCCAATAAGCCGCTTAAAGGATAAGGAAATATCAGTTCCTCGAACTCGTTGACTCAGTAAACGCTAAGAATAAACTGTTCAAGGCAGTCGTGCCAGTATTGCTAAAATACTGCGCTATGATTTAAAAGAATCGAGAAATCGTGTGGCTCTAAATTTGGAACTCTGTTAACCAACAATACGCAGCTTGATTTTGGGTTATAATTGAAGACTTACCTATACAGTGCGCTCCGAAATGTTTAAACTTGAACATATTTTTCTCATGGTACACATCATGTCACTCCTATTGGATATGATACATCGACGCGTTCATTAAATCGGTTATTATCCATGATAGCGATACATTTCTCCTTATCAAATGCGAAACAATAATTCGCATTATTAGTCAAGTCGCCCTCTAGGATAAACGCTAATACCTGCGTGAACAAAAGAGGAGCGTTCTGGAGCAGAATTCATTACGAGTACGGAGCTTCTCATATCCGTTTTGATCTCGTGGTCACAACAATATATTTCTCCCGGTAGAACTAAATTTATGAGACTAACTCTGCCAGAACAACCATGCTCTAAAATTGACTGACAGAACCAGAAGTGAATTACCTGAACGACCAACGTACCGATGCTTCCTCCATCAAACTTTGTATAAGTTTCAACAGTTTTATCCTATCTGTCACTTTCATTTCATATTAGTTGTCTCATTCATAGGCGGGTTAAGAAGCTGAACACCATAACCCAGTTCCTCACCCCTCAAGCTCACCCGGACTGTATTTATCAAGCTATGGCCTTGAGGGTACTCAATACCTACCAGTGATAGCTTCCACAACATGATCCTAACCTTATTTTTCACCTCTCGCGGGCTCTAATTATTAGCACTTCGTACTACCATGCGCTTTTGCAAAACCTGGTTAGGCATCATTTCGTCAAGCTACAATCCCCCTTAACATCAAACTCAGGAATCGTTTTGAGCCTTTGCACGTAAAACCTCCAGTTCTTTTCCGTTGCAAGCCTTTTACTGCAATATCTTTCCCATATGTCATTTTAGTTTATTGGAACTCTTCCTTCTTCACATGTGACGCTATGTATAAATATCGCTAGACAACATACGATTTGGCACAGAATTTCGCAGCGTTCGTCAATATCTACTGGCAGACCCGATTGAAAAAACAGTCCTGAATGTGCAAAATATGTGTGCTGAAGCAGCACTAATCCGCCATGCATCTCGATAGGTCTACGTGAAATGAAAAAGGATTTGCCTTATCAAAGTACTTCGTATATATATATATATATATATATATATATATATATCAGTAAAGTCAAAATGGTGAAGTTGGTGAAGTCAAATACTTTGTATGTATTGAAAAGAATAAAAAGATTAATTAAAATGATTGTCCTGTCATTTCTCTTAAGATCTAACTGGATTGCTAAATAGCTTACGTGTGCAAAATAAGTTGATGCTATAAGCTGATGATCACTAGCTACCTGCTGTCTCAAATATTATTAATGATTTTGAGGTTAGATTTACCTTCAGTGCCACTGCACTAACACTTCAAATGAAGCAACCGTTCTTTGTGCAATGACCATCGATCCAGTTAACTGCCATCTGCACCCGAAACAACTCAGCAAAATTAATTTACAGCAGTTCATATGATACTGCCTACGACTATACATGGACTTCTGATTAAAATTGTATCCGAAAACTGATTTAGACTTTTCCTTTTACCAGATGGTATAATCTCTCAAATTGAATTAAATCCTTCATCCGCAGATCACGATTTTCACATTTCGGTACTTCATAAGCCAAAGTAAATGGGTGAATGGACGACCCGGGGATTCACGCAAACTGGCGTACCGGAATTTATCAATGAAATGGACATGTTCCATTTGCATTAGTAGTTTATGGATTGGCAAATTTGTGATCGTAACTTACGTGTTTTGCATGTGACGCGACCATTTTCCCGAATAGCCACATAGCCTTTACGGCAGAAACATTCATTTTTCTCTTTGTTGCACACACTGTTTTCCACTTCGCGGGAGCAGAATTCTTCGTCGTAAGCTGCGCATGCACCTGCATAAACCAAGTGGTTACTCGCGTATAATCCCGAATTGAGATGAATCATGCAAAAGAGGTGTATCAAAAGAAGTGAGTTCATTAGTATAATGAAGCAAGAAGTTCCGAACAACAAATACCAGTCCTGAGGGAGTGTTCACTCTATTCTCAACATATTACGGTTGTTGGTAAACTCAAGTTTATGCAGGGAAGGCCTGTTAAAATGAGCGAGTTGCAAGTATCCTGATTGGTTTACTTGGGATGCATTGTGAATTCACCAATAACCGTTCTCAGAATAGCCCGAGAAATTCATTCGCTTGCCCAGCTTTTGTTACTATATTCAAGAGAATTAACCTCAAAAGGTGTTCTCTTCGGCTGCTTTCAATGTTGTGTGGATGTAATACAATTAGTAATTTAACGTTCCTGGCATTTTTCTTAATGGAACACTACATTTGCTTTGCATTAGTTTAAAAACTAATGCTTTTGCGTTTTGTATTAAAACGGATCAATATTTCTAAACATACACGCATACATTTATTTTCTGACAACGAAGGCAAACAATTTATGTTAAATGAGAAATTTGGCAGCGCTATAAATTTAGTGGGACCTTTACATGTATAAATTCACCCTCAATTAGGTTTTCTTGGTTAGTTTGTACTAGTTACGCAAGAAAACATGCAGAATTCGAAAATCAGATGCATTCATCTTTCTGCTTTTGCACATCCATATATCCTTTGGCTAAATATTCTTGAGCAGTTATGACAGTTGCAAGCATATGTTACTTGCGACAAAACCGAAGGACACTGTCAGTAATAGTAAGCTGTAAGGGCAAAATGAATAAACATTTTTTAATCACCTATGCAGCAACCTATATGCCCCAAAGATCTCACTCCTGTTCAGGAATGGTAGCAGTCTATTTTTACTAATGTTTGTTTTTCCATACACATGAAAAATATACACTGGCAGTACATTTTTTCTGGATCAATGACCTACTGCTAATCTTGTCATCCAGTTGGCTCAAAACCTGGGCGTCTTTTAGCGGCGAATGCTGAATGATGGGAAAGTTACGACATTCAGACCAAAGACTAATAAACATTCAGGTAGCAATTTTGATTCATGATGCTTTACGGAAGTATCTACATAAGTGGTTTTAGCGCCGCTAATCAGTCCCATTCGGTTCGGGTTGGGATAAACTGCAGTATTTCGGTCCAGTCAACAAATACGAATTATTCACCTGTGGATGGAGTAGCCTAGGTTGCATTTTGCTTGATTAGCTGCCAGACTCGTCTTCCGCATTATTTACGCTGTAAAATTCATTTTTATCTCCAGCCTATTGTAAAATTTACTCTAATTAGTGCTTATGAATTCTTTTATCATAAATGCATGTGTCATGTGAATCCAGTTCCGATTCCTCGTTACACTGATCCAGTCGTATCAACTTTCTTATTTTGCAATGGCGAAGCAGACTACCTTCGGTACTTGCTCTAAAGTCCTTTGTCCTCACATAAACACTACTACATGCATTCTTTGCAAAGTAACGTTTCATAATTCTTGCGTTGTGTGTCGTGGAACCATTTCGCATTATTTAAGATTCAGCAGAGTTTGTATACAATGTTACGCTGAACTTGCACCAAACACCATCAAAAACTTAGTAAAAGGATCAGCCGAGCAAGGGTGTCTAAAACAAGCGGTGGGGTTTTATTCTGTATCAAAGGCAGATGAACCACCGCCCCTGAGCAGAGAATTGGTACTATTAGAAGCAGGGCTTCGCCGTTTGCATTTTCTTCAACGGAAAATCAGGCTTCAGTGTGTACTAAGCAGAGTGGTGACGAAAAATGGAAAATGCAAAGAAAAACAAGCAGAGAACGACCTCCATCAACATAAGGCAGTGCAGTCTCACGGTCTATAAACCAACTGATTCCTCCGATTCCAGTCCTTAAATCTGTTACGAAAACAACGTCGTTTTGCGGACTAAATGATCGACTCCAAGTTGAGGCTGAGGGAAGCTATAAGTAAAACAAACTGCATATTTTGAAAAGTTAAGCTCTGGTAATTTGCTAGTTATAAGGATGAATTTGGCTAAAGAAGCTAAGCAAACGTAATATTATTTCGCCTTGTGGAACTGAAAAGTTTAAAGATGCGTGTGTGTGCTGAAAATAATTAGCAGACGGAGCTTCTCAAACATGTGATGACTGAATTAAAGCGGGTGTACAAACAATGGAGAAAAGTACTACGGAAAAATACTTTTCCAATTTTTACTTGGGTTCCTCCGTGAATCCAGATTCTTAAGTTTGCTTCAGCTGCTACAGGTGCGTCATACCGCGGCCTGATTGCAGCGTTAAATGACGTTTTCATGTTTCTGAAAGAAGGAGACAAGCTGTGGAACGTGGTATTCTCTCGGCGGTCAGAGGTAATAGAAGGTGCTGGAACAGCTGCAAATCCTCACGCAATCGCCCATAATAAGAACAAACTGTTACTTGTGCTTTTGAGGCGATGGACCATCAAATGACCGTGACGACGTACTGCTATACATAAGGTCTTCTCTGTGTGTGAGACTCAAGAGCACATATCGAAGTGCTAATGGTCTAGGTAGTGTTAGATTCATCTCAGACACAGTGAGCTGCTCGTGGATATGCTCTATCGCATTCAACATGACCGCTGCTTGATAAGGTTGCTGTATGTCCGCAGCCATAGGTATCTCCCACAATTCCTATTTATGGAAGATTTAAAATGACCTCGACCACAGGGGGCCTAAAACTGAACTTCCACCCGACCATCGTGAAATCGAAAGGAAATTCGCGAAGTTGATATTTGTTACCGGAATCACAAAGCACATCAACCACCTGATGCACATAACTGCGCGTTCTACTCAATGGTGCTTAGACCTGCTATCGACTAGCTGTGAATACCATATGCATATAATCAGGGTCTATAGACCATGGCCGTGAATGACTAATCATTGATGGTAGCAAGATTGGAACTGCCGCGGCCGCATTGTTTTCCATGGGCTTCAACTACTGGAAAGCGGAATTTAGCGGCCTTACTCACGTCAACAGCAAGGCTGACTGGTCGTCACCAGCAGATTCCTCTGCTGAAGTCTGCTGGGAAATTTTGAAAGAGAAAGTACATCCGCTGTTCTCCCGATTTGCGTTCCTTGAGTATCCGAAGGTCATACCAACCAAACCATATTGCTTCGTTGAGGTGTATAGCAGACTAGCTTGATAGCGACGTCGGATTGGTGGATATATATTTGGCTCCGGAAGATATTACGAGAACTATGAAACTGTGAAAATCTCTGCAACCATGCTAAAACACACACGTGGGATAATTACAATTAGCAGGTTGCAACCGCCGCAAAACGTCTCCCAAAAGAAGTTTTGCCAAGCGAAGCGGTGCCAGAGGCCTGCAGGCAGGATTCCAGTGTTATAGGGCTAAAACGACAGCCTCTGAAATCTAGCACGAAAGATGCCCTCATACTATCGGTACATTTGTGTCCGCGTCTAAAAATTTCCAAGCGTCTGTAATGAGTGCGACCGATATCGCCACTGTCGAACTAGACAACCTGGATTTCGATACCAATAATGTACGCAAGCTACTAGCCAGCATTTGGCGAACAAGGCTGCCGGAAGCAAAGAACTCTATCGCCTTATCCGAAGTCATTGTCGGTATTTATCTCGAAGTCTATGACTAAGCCGTTCAACAGGTCATTATCCACAAGTTTACCGCTATTAGACTGAAGTACTCAGTCATAAGGCTAATACCAAAAGCCGGTGATCCAAGCAAAGTGGACAAATACCGATGATCTGTCTGGTCGATTTATTGGTTAACACACTGGAGACTATCTTAAAGAATGACCTTCCGCAGCTTCTCTAGTCGGATATTCTCTCGATACCCACATAGCATTCTTAAACCCAAACGAAATCAGAACAGTGGTATAGCAGTTGAAAAGTTTAGTAGCAAGCCTAAAGCGGTACACTTCACACATCACATGAGAGCACGTAAAATCTGTCTGCGTTTAGTCACGTGAAATTACGAACGATTTCCAGTTCGAAGCTGCTAGGTTCACCGCAGCTACTTTGCCGCAATACATAGAAGAACAAAAGGAAAAAATGCAACAGGTGCAAGCCAGCTGAGCTATCGGTAACGGATGGGCATGGTTCAGGTAAGCTACCAGCTGGCTGTTATGCAGAAAATTACTATACCACATTATAGAAGGCTAAAAAGGAGATCCTCTTTGGAGCTGAGGCTAAGAAGGTTGGAGTGGAACAAAGAAACTCACAGCAAGTCAAACAATTTCTTAATGCTCTGGTCACCGTAGAGTATAAGCAACGGTGCCCTATCTGCTGCATCCGGCAGGGTGGGTTGGGTTTGTGTGCTACTGCTTAAGCATATCCATTTCCTATTCCCCTCTTACGCTTTATCACTCATACCCTGTTTTCAATTCCCAAATCCTTGGCCCTCCCCCAACTTGCTTTCATTGGTTTTACCATTTGCTTTCGACATACATGTGAACGCGGAGCTTCATTCCTGTCCTGTCGACAAGCCCATATCAAAGCAATCGGCCAGGCCCTGTTCATCGGCTTCCATTTGATGACCTCGATCATCCTTCAGTTTGGCATGCCACAATGTACGCACATTGCTACACATCGATCAACAGGCAGCACTTGCCTGGACATAAGAGTACCTCTCGATCGATACCTGCTGCTTATCAGAGACCCGCGGGCAAGACTCGAGCTCTGTGCTCACTTTACGATCCCCTTCAGGTGACATCAGCAGCACTTTCACATTGCGCCTATCCGGTGACGATGCAGCTTCGAGCATCAGCCAAGCCGGTGTTGTTATCGTCCTGAATCCCCGAGCTGAAGCTGCTCCGGTTGACTGGATTCCAATCAGTAGCCGGTTGTGTGTGGTCCGAGTAGCTGGCTCATTGAAAGCTTCGAAGTCGCGCGGTGCTAATAGGTGTCTATTCATCCTAGCTGCCTATGCACATAAAAACTCTAACGATGATTCGGGAAACG